GTTTTTATGTCTTTAAGGCAGTTATGGAGTTTAGTTAATTGATTACTTTCCTCTGGCTTCATCGACAAATACAACTGTGCATCATCTGCATAACAATGGAAATTTATAGAGTGATTTCTAATGATGTTACCTAAAGGAAGCATATATAGAGTAAATAGGATTGGTCCGAGCACAGAACCTTGTGGAACTCCAAAACAAACTTTAGTACGTAAGGATGATTCATTATGAACGTCAACAAACTGAAAACGATCAGATAAATAAGATTTAAACAGCTTAGTGCAGAACCTTTTAGGTCAATTAAGTGATCCAGTCTCTGCAGTAGAATTTGATGGTCAGTAGTGTCAAACGCCGCACTAAGATCTAATAAAACAAGTACAGAGACGAGTCCTTTGTCTGAAGCAATCAGGTCATTTGTAATTTTAACTAGTGCTGTGTCAGTGCTATGTTGCACTCTAAATCCTGACTGAAATTCCTCAAATAAATTATTATCATGGAGAAAATCACACAATAATATATAAACTCCTCCTCTCCACTTGACCTCCCAGTAACAGCGACCAGTCAGACCAGTTCTACACAGCAGCTGAGACCAGTAGTCAAGATACATAGATGTGTAAGACACTAGTTAGAAATGAGTCTGATGTTTTTGTTAATGCTTAATGTTCTTTTAACTGGCCATACCGAGAAACCTTCTTTTTTAATCTTTCTTTGATGTAAATATAACATGCATACACATTTTAACTACTGGATGTTTCTAGCAGGTGCAGCATTTGTATTCAGACACTAGCTAATCTGAACAGTATCACTGATATGCTGTTTGAACAATGGTTGGCATGTAAAATAGACGTCTTTAAAACAAGTATTTAATCTATCCTGAGAGACATCTACACATCTTTTCATGTGCAAATCACCAAAACACCCGGCTTAATTTTCAATCCTGCTTCTTTAAAATAAAACCTAATTTATTAATGAAAACCTCGGTCAATGTTCCTGTTTTATAACCTCAATATCAAACTTAATCTACTGTGTGAATAAAACACATAAACCATGTCCTCAAAGACAGGTGAGATCTGATGTGTACTGCGTCATGTAACACACTTTAAAGTGATGCTTGGTGCTCACTGGATGTGACAAGAAAATGTATGTTGATAAATACAGTGATTAACAGTCTTTATCTTTATGGACAGAGGAGAGCTGAAACAAGGGATACTGACAACAAGGTGCATTATTACTTTGACATGATGAACTACACTACTCTTCAATATTGTGTGCAATATTTTCTCAACATCATGTGAAATATTACTTTTCAGTATCATAATCACTTGTCAATATCATGTGCAATTCTATTTCTCATTGTTATATACAATATAACGTTGATCCCTCCATTTCAGTTCAGTTTTAGTTTACTCTTGTACATAACTTAACTTTTGTTTCTCCTTAAACACTTAATATCTTGTATATTTTGAATATTCATATTAAATAGGCTATTGTTTAAAAAACTAGGCCCAGAATGTGACCCTGACCCACTGGTTGTTACTGGTTTGTGATTGTTAGTGTTGTTACTGCAATTTGTGTTGCTGTAATCTGAAGCATTCTTTAGCACAAGAATTTCCTTTGGGGTAAATTAAGTTGTATTGAATTGAATTGGAAGTTTCCATTGTGGTTGTATTTCCCCTGTAATTGCACAGGACAAAACAATTTTCATTCACCTTTTTCTACTGGTAAATGTAACGGTTTTTATGTCAGGACAGTTTCTATGTGTATAGTGTGTTTCAATGTGCTTTACGTTGCTATTACTTGAGACTAGTAGTAGAAGGGTGTCATTCATGCACAAGTTGGGCTGCAGGCTCTCAGAGGTGCAGTCAGATGTGTCCATGAGACAGCAGCTGCAGCGGCGCTCAGAGCCACAGGGTAGTTGACAGTCTGATCTGTAACCACCTGGTACAAAACTGGGATTCAGGGAAACACAAAACACGAGACACAAGAACAATTTATCATATCCAAATCTTTACTTAGGAAGTCAGGGGTCAAACACCTGAACGCAGTCAGTGAAGGCAGAAAAGTCCATTCACACAAACTAATACACAAAAAGCAAAGTCCATAAATCTGAGCAGAGTCAAAATCCAAGAACTCAAACAAGAGGAAAGGTCTGGGAAGCATAAACACACCAGGGCGACAGTGACAAGCTGGCATCTGACTGGGGGAAACACTGGGCTTTCAATACACAAGGGCTGATCCCTAACTACACACAGGTGAGTGGAACAAGACACAGGTGAAACGCATGGGGTCATAAACAAAGGTGGGAAAACTCAGGAAGTAAAAGAAACACTAAACACAATGAGAACACATTTCAAAATAAAACAGGAAGTGGACACAAACACATGAACATAAACTTGACAGAATATCACATGGTCCACAGTGGGAAGACAGACAGGAAGGTCAGATGTCTTGTAGTATATGTCCCTGTACGTGCACACATGCTGGTACATTTTGCTGAAGGGTGTCTTGATGAGAGGGTTCTGGAGGGGAGCAAAAAGAACAAGGTGTGTTCATTTCTAGCACAGTATGTTGTTATTTAAATAACTTTACTGACTTTTGGTTTTACATGGAAACTGTGTGTTCCCTGGTGAAAGTCTGGAGGTTGTTTGACCCATCCATTACCCTTCCCTCCCACACTATATGGACTTTCACATTCTTTATATGACAGTAATTAACAGTGGTGTTACAAACTGCTGCTGGCTGGTGTGTTTCATACCGCTGCGAAGGGTGCCTCTGTGCGGCGGCGTCATTTACAAAGTGGCGGTATTTGATGAGTTGGGTTGTTGCCCACTGTATCAACAACTGTCGCCACCTGGTGTGTATCATGTCAAGACACCTGATGACCAGTTTTACTCTTTCACTGTTTTGAGATTTTCCCACGACACTTTGGTGACCAACAGGTACCTGTCTCTGTGAGAACCTCGGAAATTAACCTTGATACTGGGCAACGTTATAAAGGTTCCCCTTGAACTCTGTTGCTACTGTCTAATAAAATATATATACAGACATGTCATGTGTAATTCATTTCAAAAGATGAAAGTTAAATTCGACCCAGAACAACCTCAATATACAAAAAACTGTAGCACCTGCACAAGAGTATGTATGTAAATAAGATTTTTAAATATTTTTATTTTGTACATTTTGGGTCACCTCAGGAGAAGTCATCAAATGTCAGGCTTAATACTCTGAAAAGCAACAAACCTTTGTCTGTATAATGGTACTCAAACTGGAGCATCTGATACCAGATAACTACCATCGTGGAGACAAAGTTACCTGGCATAAGAACAACTGAAAGCATAGGAGAACAAAGCTGACGGGAATCAAAACACATGGATAATAGCTGCCACAAGATGTCAGCAGAGCTTCATGTTTCTTCACACTGACATCACACGACGAGGGTTTCATCAACAAATGAGGACTTCTACTTCTTAATACTTGTTGAATGCCCCTCAGGACTTCTTGTGTTTAACACCAACAGTGTCAGTATGATCATTTATGATCCTGAAGATAGATACAGATAATACATGTGTACATGTTTCAGAGTGTGACAGTGTGGAGAAATGAAAGCAGCTCACACACCAGTGTCCATGTTGGGAAGTTTTCTCCCTCATTTACAAAATGTTACACAAACACAGGACTTTCACTCAGGAGACCACTGNGAAAGCAGCTCACACACCAGTGTCCATGTTGGGAAGTTTTCTCCCTCATTTACAAAATGTTACACAAACACAGGACTTTCACTCAGGAGACCACTGCTGGTGTCCTGTGTGATACTAATAGTTAAAAGTATTTCCATCCTTTTTGTGGAAGAATATAAACCCAGTGGAACCCTTAGATCTTATCTTAAAGTACCTCAACTGTAACTACTTCAATAAATCTGTCCAGTTCAGTTCAGTTCATAAACAATTGTGGCAGCAGCTCTTCTGTTTGTTCAAAATAAAATAAAATAAATGAAAAGACACACAGTCAACTTCAATAAAATAAGAAACACTCTGTGAATTAACATCAAGTGAAGTGACGCAGTATATCTCAATATACTCACTCCATTCTGTCTTTCTGCACTAACTCAGGTACACATGTGGTAATGGCAGTGGCAGCAGTCATCAACCTCATACAGCACTACATGATGAAAATAAACATCATTTTCGGGTACTGTACACACAATGAACATTCTCAAGCATGAACGATAACAAAATATATGTCTGTGAAATGAACTTTCAATACTCTGAGGAAGTAGGAACACTGCAGTCCTCTCATGAATTACTCTGGTGCATATGGAAACAATCTGTAAACACTGGACGGCCTAAATCATCATCTGCAGCACATAATACATTTGGTACTTCTGTTCAATCATATTGATGCACATCTTTCGATTGTTTTGCACAGAGATAACATTTCAAACATATTTACCTACTGGAGGAATAGCAAAATGCCCCAGAGGACAACAGGTGGGTCACGAAAAGGAAAGTTCTTCACTTCCTGTTTTCCTTTTGCAGTATTTCCTCCAGATCTTCTGTCATTTTAGGGACACCCAAAGGGACATTGTGTTTTCCACTGGGCTACATTCATAACCACTTTCACATTTGAAGTCTAAAATTTCAGCTGTTCTCCTGTGCCTTCAATTGATCTGTGTCTCTGCTGCACCTATATTTCCTTTGTTGAATTTGAGGCAACTTATTACAGCACTGTAACTGTGTTTCTGGTAAATCCATCCAAATTGTAATTAATTTCATCTAATTTAAATTGGATATTATCTCAAATGATTTTGTTCTCTTTTTTTATTACTTATTGTTTTATGTGTTATTCTGATGTTTTGTTGCCTTTTTAAAGGACTGTTGTAAAGGACTTGTTTGGGATGTGCACGCTATTTAAATAAAGCCACCATGCCTTCATGCAGTGAGTTAGCCAAAGCAAGACATTTACAGTAAATGTAGCAGAGTAAATGACTCACTGGAACACAGACAGGAATTCAAACACTTTATTCTGAAAGGATTCATAGGAAATGCTAGTATGCAGTTGTGTATATGAATATGAACAGTGTTGTATGGAGAGAGCTGCAGTTACTCGCTCTGACCACTGGAGGAAAACTTTGGAGGGAGAATGAAAAGAAATTAAAAGTTTACACAAAAATCATCAATAAAAACAGTCGAGCAGAAAACGAATCATCTGTGGAGTCCAGAGTGTTTTCTTTAGCGCCACCCTCAGGACAAACTCACATCCTACACACATTCTCTGAACTACCATCATCTGTGTGTGATCCTGTACAGACTGAACTATCAGTTCAGCAGTGAGAAAGTTTCTCTAACAGGAGGAGACTCTCCCTCCTACAGAGAACACAGAGACACTGAGGAATCAGGTGACCAGAGCCAAAACCCAGGATAAAGAGGTTCAGTGAATGTGGTGTTGAAGGTGTGGAGGTGGATCAGTGTGTCAGAGGAGACTGTGAAGAAGGACAGAGTGCCAGCAGGATAGTCCAGATACACTGCTACTCTACCGGAGGAGGAGGAGGAGGAGGAGGAGATGAATGTTGCTGTGTTATTGTACCAGACAATGTAACCACCATCAGAGCAGGTCAGACTCCAGGACTGATCATTCTCTCCAAACCCACAGTGAGCTCTGTCTCCTCTCCTCCTGATTCCTCTGTAACTCACTGATATAGAAACCCCTCCTCTCCACTCGACCTCCCAGTAACAGCAACCAGTCAGACCAGTTCTACACAGCAGCTGAGGACAGGGGTCAAATCTGTCTGGATGATCAGGATATGACTGATCCTCCTTCACATGTGTCACCTTCCTGTTGTTGTCAGACAGTTTGATCTTTCTGTTCACTGTGTTTGCGTCAATTGTGAGTTCACAGGAATCTGATGGAGAGAAGAAGACACAATACAGCTGCAGTTATTCATCTATCATCACTCTGATGATGACATCAGAGATTTGAATGAGTGATGTCACAGTTTGAAGATCAAATGAAAAACACACTTACACTTCCTCAGACCTGGTCTCAACCATCGGACTCCAGCAGGCTCCACCCTGAAAGGAGGAGGGGGGTCAGAGCAGCACTTCCTCTTTCACCATGGAAACATAGACATTACATCACTCTCATACACACAGCTTTGTTATTGTCTACACATGGACTGACATGTTCATCACTTATTATTAATCAGCTGATATTGTTTTAGTTCAGTGTACCTGAGCAGGTGGTGTTTCAACAGTTTACTGTGGGTTCATCACGACCACACAACACTTCACCATTACAGTCAGCTGATCCATTGTCAATATACAAGTATTGATTATTGGAGCTTTGAAACCACCTGTTTTACTCCTGATGAGTGACCTCCTTTGTTTGTGTCATAATGACTGTTGTCTGTCA